GAGTGATAAGCAATAATCCTACAATTTTCCTTCATTCTAGACAAGTCCTATAAGGAATAACACTTTTGATCGCATCGAAGACTTCGCTTTACGTGCTGATAGCACTACAGCTTTATGAAACCAAAGAACATTCGCCTCGGGGCATCGATGAAACGCTCGCTTAACTAGTGCGCCACTCGGGAATGTAATGCGGAATGAAACGAAATGCCATTCTGCTAAACAATTGTGAGATTTAAAATAAGCCAGCTACATGAGAGATCAGAGCTGAGAGCAGAATGAAGGAAAATTACGCTTCAAAGGCGGTAGAAACGGAAGCCGACTCACCCACTTCCAAATACGCACAACTGCAACAACAAGCAGGGAAGGTGAATGGATAGCCGAACCATCACCGCTGTAATACACATGAGGTGTTTAAATGTGGGTGGTAGGTCAAAGGTGAGAGACTTCGGTTCGAATGTCTTGCTACTAGAGCACTACCCAAGCACCACTTCCCACCCCTCACGCCGCTTAATAAAACCCTCAAAAGACGCTTTAGAAACCTACCAAGAGGGGAATAGAAGGGCGATTACCACTATAAAATCCACGTTTTCTTGCCTATCACGCGGGACAAGAGTGCTGAATATCAAGACTAGCTTGCTAGTCGGTGTTTTTCATTTAGGGAAACGAAAGGGTTACAAGCTACGCATGAGATAGCCTGAGCTTCTGCCAGAAATTGTGCCTACTTAAGACTCGTTGTTGAAGGCTGATGACCAATAGTGTTGTAGGCACGACCCGGTTGTGGTGACAGCGCTGAACCATACAGCTCTTGCATTCCGTACACTCGCTCCGTCCATCCATTGCAGTCCTGTTGTACCGGCAATCGAATGGTGGGGGTCTGTCTGAACAGAGAGAAAACAAAAAAAAAAATACATACAATAAAATAAAGTTGCCCAGGTGGATGCAGAAGGCAATCAACAAAACGGCCAGCAAGCTCGATAAAGCATTCCACCAAATAGGTTTGGAGGCTAAAGAAACACAAACCAGCAAACACATGCAATGGGAAGGGGCATACTAAGGACAAAGCAAAGCGCTGAAGAGCACTGCAACTAACCTGTACTCATAGATCACTCGTGCTGGCATTGAGAAAGAGTCACTACAGTAGCAAAGTGTTACGATAAAACCAACACCTAAATTAGCACATTCAATGCCAAGTTTTGAGTTTTAACAGCGAATCCGAGCAGTACTTAATGAACTTACGAACCTTATGTTACGAGAATGTGCCGAAGAATCGAAAGCCTCATTATCAAAGCGACCTATTGTATTGAGA